TCCCCTCCTTCCTCCCTGCTCACCTCCGCATGGTCACCCCCTCCCCACCCTCACAGCTGCAGCAGTTTCAGCAGCACCAGCAACTGCAGCACCTGTACTTCCATCAGCGGCAACGGCAGCCGCAGTTTCTCCAGCCCCAGCAGCCGCCGCCGCCGCAGGCCTTCCAGCCGCCGCCGCTGCAGCAGCAGCAGTTCCTTCCCCCACCCTGGCAGCAGCAGCCACTCACCTTCGGCACAGCGGCCATGGCCGCCCATACCTCCCTTCCTCCTCCTCCCCCCTGAGGTTCCCTCCCCTCCCCCCCCCCCCAGTGTTTCAGACACTTCTGGTAGTTTCCTTGGTAATATCGGTGTTACACCGTCCGTTGCTGCCATGTATCCCTCTGCTATCAATGAGACTTCGTTTCAGTATCCCGTCCCACCCCCTCCTCCCTCTCCTCCCACCCTGGACTTTGTCCTTGACAGTGGAGCCACTGAAACCGCACTGAAAGATGCTGGCACTCTCACCCCCCTACCACTTCCCACTCAGGTTCATGGAGCTGATTCCAGTTTTTCCATTCCATGCACTCACCTTTCCACCCTCCCTTGCATTGCCTTCCCCTCCGGTAAGGTCACAGGTCTCCACATCCCCACCCTCCGCAACAACCTCCTCTCCCACCGTGAGCTCCAGGGTGCTGGTATCACTGCCATTTACCCCGGTTATGCCAATCACTGTGATCTCTACCAGACCTCCTCCGGTCGCTTCCTTCTCCGCATTCCGCTTTGCCCCCGCACTCGCCTCTACACACTCCGCACACCTCGCACATCTTTCTGCCACGTCACCACTCGTTCCGGTGCTTCCACCGGTCCACCTCCTCCTCCTTTACTTCCCCCTTCCCCTCCCACTCAAGTAACCTCTTCTCCCTCCCCACCATCCCCCTCCTCCCCTCCCGTTCCTTCCCTTACCCCATCTCCCTCCTCCTCCACTGCCCTCTCCCACCCTGCTGTCCTCTTACACCACAGACTCGGCCATCCCAACTTCACCGCCCTTCGCACCACGGTCACCTCTCGCCTCCTCCGCAGCCTTCCTCCCGTCTTACCTCCCCTCCCCTCCTCCCCCTCTCCCCCATGCCCTTCATGCATTCACGGCAAGCTCAAACAGTCTCCCCACCACAGTCACCCCACCTTCGCCGCCGCCCCCATTGACCTTGTGCACATGGACCTCTGGGGCCCCTATCCCATCCGCTCCCGCCAGGGGCATCGGTACATGCTCGTCCTAGTTGACGACCACAGCCGGTACTCCACCACCTTCTTCCTTCACACGAAAGACCAGGTGCCGGCAGTGGTCATCAACTGGGCCGAACAGTGCCGCAATCACTTCAAACGCCCCATTGGCCGCCTTCACTCTGATGGTGGGGGTGAGTTCATCAATAACACCCTTGCCACATACTGCGCCACCTCCGGCATCCAGCAGACCTCCACTCTTCCCCATTCCCCTCAGCAGAACGGCATTGCTGAGAGCCGCATTCGTGAGATCACCAAGATTGCTCGCTGTCTCATTGCTCATGCCTCCACCCCTCCTTCCCTCTGGAGCTATGCCCTCCTCCACGCCGCCCTTCTCCTTAATCTCCGCTCCCACCCTCAGCATCCTTCCTCCTCCCCTACAGAGCTCTGGTCCAACGCCAAACCCGACGCTGCCGGCCTTCGCGTTTGGGGCTGCAAGGCCTTCGTTCTCATCCCGCCCGCTGACCGCTCCCGCGCCGCTGGCAAGCTTGCTCCTCGCGCTCTGGAATGCGTTTACCTTGGGCACAATCGCGACTCCCCAGGCTACCTCTTCCTCCACCCTCCCACCAATCGCCTCATCCGCAGCGGTGACGTCGTCTTCGACGAATCCGTCCCCTATTACTCCACTCCTCCCCCTGATCCCCTCCCTCCTCCCACTCGTCCCCTTGCTTGGACCGACACCGTCCTCCCGCCCCTTCTCCCTCCAGCCCCTCTCCTCCCACCAGTCGCAGCTCCGCTCCCGCCCTCCTCCTCCGCCGATGTCTACGACCCTGCCGCACCCGCTTCCCCCGCTCACTCGGCCGCACCTCCTCCCCCCCCTCCCTCCCCTTCTCCCTCTCCCTCCTCCCAGCAGCCGGATCAGCAGCAGCAGCAGCCGGGCCGGCAGCAGCAGCAGCAGCAGCCGGGCCAGCAGCAGCAGCAGCAGCAGCCGGGCCAGCGGCAGCAGCAGCCGGGGCAACAGCACCAGCAGCGGCAGCCGGGACAGCCGCAGCAGCAGCAGCCTCAGCAGCCGCAGCACCAGCACGGTCAGCAGCAGCCACAGCAACCAGGGCAACAGCTTCAGCAGCCCCAGCAACAGCAGCGGCGTCGGGCCACCTCCCGTTCCTCCCCCTTCCTCCTCCCTTACATCCATACCCGCTCTGTGGACAAAATCCTTGGGGCTCCTCCTCCTGCCTCTATTCAGCTCCTTGAGGACTCCCATGAGGAGTTTCTTAACATTCGGGAGCACACTCCATTCCTTGCCGCCCTCTACCTTGACTTCCTGGGTTTTCCCGTCCTTGGCGCCACGACTACCCCCACCGCCTTCACTCCCTCCACCTTCCAGGAAGCCATCACCTGCCCTGATGCAGATAAATGGATGGCAGCGATCTTCCTGGAGTGTGAGGCTTTCATTCGCAACGACTCCTTTGTCGATGTCCCTCTCCCTGCTGGCTCTAATCTCGTTGACGGAAAATGGGTCTTCCGGGTGAAACAGCTGCCGGGTGAGGACCCAGTGTACAAGGCCCGCTACTGCGCCAAGGGTTTCACACAGACCTGGGCTGAGGACTACTGGTTCACCTACGCCCCCACCGCCAAACCACCCACCCTCCGCGCCGCCTTGGACATTGGTGCACGTGACGACATGGAAATCGACTCCATGGACGTCTCCAATGCATTCCTGCAGGGTGACCTGCATGAGCGCATCTTCCTCCGGCGGCCCCCCGGGTTCCACGCAGCCTTTCCTGAGAACACTGTGTGGCAGCTGCGTCGCCCCGTCTACGGCCTGAAGCAGGCGCCGCGTGAGTGGCATGCGAAGCTGGCTGCCACCTTGGGATCTCTTGGCTTCTCTGCTTCCCACTCCGACGCCAGCCTCTTCATCCGCTCCTCCCCCCGCCGCTTCTTTATTCTCGTATATGTCGACGACATGATCCTGCTCTCTGACACCAAGGCCGACATGGAGCAGGTGAAGCTGTCCCTGCAGCAGCGGCTCAAGTGCAAGGACCTTGGCGCCCTCACTCACTACCTCGGCATGACCATCACGCGCAACCGCCCTGCTCGCACCATCACCCTCTCCCAGTCCCATTACATCGGCCAGGTCTTGGAGAAGTTCGACATGATGCAGGCCAAGCCTGTCTCCACCCCGCTCCCCTTTGGTCACCAACTTGCTCCCCCCACTTCCCCCTCCTCCTCCCCTCACCCCTACCCCGAGCTCGTTGGATCCTTGATGTACGCAATGATGTGCACCCGCCCCGACCTCGCCTACCCTATCAGCGTGCTCGCTCGCTTTGTCGGCACCGGTCGTCACTCTGAGGAGCACTGGACAGCTGCCAAGCGGGTCCTCCGCTACCTTCGCGGGACCAAGGACCTTGCCCTCACCCTCGGCGGCCCTTCCCGTCCCCTTCTCTCGGGCTTCAGTGACTCCTCCTGGGCCGACACGCAGCCGGACCGCCGCTCCTCCCAGGGCTATGGCTTCACCCTTGGCAGCGGCCTCATCAGCTGGCGCTCCACCCGCTCCTCTGCTATCTCCCTCTCCTCCTGCGAGGCAGAGCTCTACGCTGGCACCATGGCCGCCCAGGAGTCGCGCTGGCTCTGCTTCCTCCTTGCAGAGCTTGGCGCCCCCCAGGCGTGCCCCACTCTCTGGTGCGACAACGCCAGCACCATCCATCTCACTCAGGACCCCGTCTATCACGCCCGCTCCAAGCACATCGAACTCCGCTACTTCTTCGTTCGCGACCTCGTCCAGAAAGGCCTCATTGCCGTTCGCAAGATTGCAACCGAGGCCAACTTGGCCGACATCTTCACTAAGGCCCTCCTTCGCCCCGCGCACTCTGCTTTCCTCCGCCTCATTGGCCTTGCTCGCCCGGGCGCCCCTTGACTCAGGGGTTGTTCTCTTCTTGTGTTAGCATGCTAAGGGGTTGTGTTAAAATATATTTATTGTAGCATGCCAACACATGTGACTGTACACCAATTGTGGTGTACAGTTGGGTTGGGACTACACCCAACTTTGGGTGTAGTCTTGCATTTTGGGGTGCCAATCCACCCAATTGTGGTGGAGCCCCCAAATGCAACCCTCTTGACTTGTGGGTGCCTCACTTCCCATAATTGAGGTTCCCCCAAGCCAAGTGGGCCTAGGGTTGCCTCACTTCTACAAAGTATGGGCAACCCAACCCACTTGACCTATGGTTCCCTCATCCCCCCAAGTGAGGTGAACCCAACCTATGGTCACTTTGATCCTTCCCTTCCAACCTTCTCTTCCAATCTTTTCTCCCAACTATGTATGCTAGGTTGTCCCTCTAATCAATTTACTTGTTCAATTTGCTACTTTCACAACCCCTGCCCTCGTTCGGCCCACCAAGAGGAGGTATGCTCATTAGTTTCATCTCTTCCATTTCTCGCCTTCCATCTCTCGCCTTCCATCTCTCGCCTTTCGTCTTCCCTGTTTATTGCCCGCTGGTCTTCCTCCACATGCCTTGTTCTCTTATGCTGCTCCTTTGCCACTCCCCTTTGCTGCTCCCCCCTACATGCACAGCAGCACCGGAGCCTGGCAGTGGAGCTTGACACATCTTAGTCTCCCAAACCTAGAGACGTCTCAGAATGTCCCGTTCCCAACCCCCACCCTCCCCCACCCTCCACCACCCTCCACCACCCACCAACCGTGCAGCAGCAGAGCCTGGCAGTGGAGCTTGACACATCAGTCTCACAAGTCCACGCCCACACCCCCCTCATCCACTCTCCTCCCCCCAATCCGTGCAGCAGTGGAGCATGGCAGTGGAATATGACACATCCTCTTCTCCTGAATTCTTCGACCACCCCGACCACCACGTGGGAGTGAACCTGCACGGCAGCATGCTCTCTCTCACCTCTGCTCCCGTGCACTCCCTCACTCTTTTGCTCTTCCTCTTCTGCTCACTTCTGCTGCTGCTCTGCCGTTCTGCTGTGCTGCTGTTGCTGCTGCTGCTGCTGCTGCCTCCCCTATCCTTCCCCCCCCCATCCATGCAGCAGCAGCGGAGCCTGGCAGTGGAGTTTGACACATCCTCTTCTCCTGAATTCTTCGACCGCCCCGACCACCACGTGGGGGTGAACCTGCACGGCAGCATGCTCTCTCTCACCTCTGCTCCCGTGCACTCCCTCACTCTTTTGCTCTTCCTCTTCTGCTCACTTCTGCTGCTGCTCTGCCGTTCTGCTGTGCTGCTGTTGCTGCTGCTGCTGCTGCCTCCCCTATCCTTCCCCCCCCCATCCATGCAGCAGCAGCGGAGCCTGGCAGTGGAGTTTGACACATCCTCTTCTCCTGAATTCTTCGACCGCCCCGACCACCACGTGGGGGTGAACCTGCACGGCAGCATGCTCTCTCTCGCCTCTGCCCCCGTGCACCCCCTCGGCATTCCCGCCCTCAACGCCGGTCAACCCCTCCTCGCCACGATCCGATACAACGCCTCCTCCTCTCAGCTCACCGTCTGGCTCTCCCCCGTCCCCCGCTCCTCCTCTCGCTCTGCTTCTTCCTTCTTCGCTCCCCCTCTCCCGCGCTCGGCCGTGCTCACCACATTCCTGGACACCTGTGAGTGGCTGGGGGGGAACGACCCACAGGCAGCAGCGCCCCCCCCGCCGCTGTTTGTGGGATTCACAGCGGCCACGGGCAAGGGGGCGGAGCAGGCCCAGGCGCACGAGGTGCTGGGGTGGAGCTTTGAAGTTGGAGAGGGTGAGTTGTTGGAATTCTCATGATAATAGTACAGCCGTGGGGAGGGATGGGGTAGGGGGCGGAGCAGGCTCAGGCACACGAGGTGCTGGGGTGGAGCTTTGAAGTCGGAGAGGGTGAGTTGTTGGGAGTGAAGTGACCTTAAGAGTTGCACGAGGTGCTGGGGTGGAATTTTGAGGTCGGGGAGGGTGAGTTATTGGGAGTGACCTTAGGAGGTGCTGGGGTGGACGTTACAAGTGGCGGAGGGTGAGTTGTTGGGAGGGACCTTAGGAGGTGCTGGGGTGGATGTCCAAGTCGGGGAGGGTGAGTCTGAGTGCCCTCCTCCCTGACCCTGTTTTGAGCGTATTTTAGGGGTGAATCACCCTTGCTTTACTATCTCACCTGTGAGTAGCTCGACCCATGTGAGGAGCTTGGGGAAAATGACCCACAGGTATGATTATCTGCTTATCTTATCAGCATCTGCAGTGTTTCATGCCCACATGAGGTGCTGTGCTGGGGTTGAAGTTTGAAGTATGGGAGGATGAGTTGAGTTCAAGTGTCTCCCCATTGCCTAGTGTAAGCCTCTCTAACCCTCCCCCCCTCTTGGCCCCGCCCCTTCATAAAATCTTATGCCAACCCCAGCAGCCGAGGATTCGCTTCCGTTTTGGGCGGCAGACTCGTTCTCCTTCCCCTACATCACACCAGCCACTCCCCTGCAGACACGTGGCAGCACAAGGAAGCGTTTCTTCGCCGCTGATCTCTCCGTCGCTGCTGCTGACGTGACATTTACCGGCCAATCAGATGATCCCACCCCCGGAGCCCTCTTCTTCCCTCGCCGTCTCCCGCTCCTCTACTCCTCCTCCTCCCCTCCTTTCCCTCCTCCTCCTCGTCGTCCTCGCAGCTCCCCCCATTCCTCTCCTTCCTCCTCCCCTCCGCAACCCACAGCAACCGAACCCCCAATCTGCATGGCTCGCTCGTTCACCTTCACATATGGATTTTCCATAAACGTATCCGCGTCTCAAGGGCTCGCATTCGTTATAAGCACACATGCGAGCGTGGGCCTAGGCGGGGCTTATATGGGGTACGGCCGGGACCCATCCTCGCGACTCGCTAATGGCAGCTGGCCGGACGGCGCGCGGAGTGTAGCTGTGGAATGGCACCCGGAAACTGACAATGTAAATGTTATACACTTAAACGTTAACACTGACTTCAACATGACTTCGATTTTCTCGGAGAAGTTGTTAACTGGTGTGGAGCCAGAGGACGTGCTACAAATGAGGGTTGACTATAACGGGAGAAGCAAGGAGATGCTGATCAGATGGTACCAACCCCCTCTTCTAGTGGACAGCATGAATGTCTCTCTTGACCTCTGTGCTGCTCTCACTGGGCCCTCTGCCACCAGCAGAAGCAGCAGTGGTGGTGGCAGTGGTAGCAGCAGCAGGAGCAGCAGCAGCAGCACCACCACCACCACTGCCACAAGTGGCAGCAGCAGCAGCAGCAGTGACAGCAGTGTGACAGACCTGGCGTCGCCATCGTTTGGGCATCTGTTTGTTGGGCTCACCAGCGCTGCTCTCCCTCCCCCCCCTGGCCGCCTTCCCTCTCCTGTCACCATATACTCTTGGACCTTCAGATTCACAGGTAGGAAGGAGAAGGAAAAGGGGGGGGGGAGAAGGGGGTGAGAATGGTGGGTACTAGCAGCATTGGTCGCCATCCTTTGGGCAGCTGTTCGTTGGGCTCACCAGCGCTGCTCTCCCTTCCCCCCCCCCTTCCGGCCACCTGCCTTCCCCCGTCGCCCTCTCCTCCTGGACCTTCCGGTTCACAGGTAGGGTGGAGGGGAAGGGGGCGAGATGGGGGGGGAAAAGAGGGCGAGATTGGGGGGAGGGAGAGAGGGCGAGACGGGGGAGAGGGAGAGAGGGCGAGATGGGGGGGAGGGAAAAAGAGAAGGGGTAGCAAGCCACGCGTCCTGCCCTTGTTGCCTTCTCCTTCTGGACCTTCTGATTCACAGGGGAGGGAGAGGGGAGGGAGGATTTTCGTTCCTGTAACTCCGTGAACCCCTGCGTATCCCCTTGCAACCCCTTGTATCCCCTTGCAACCCCTTGTATCTCCTTGCACCCCCTTTGCATACCTGCTCTTCTCTCTCCTCCTAAGTCATACCTTTGCATACTCCCCGTTCCCATCCTCCCTCCGCCCCAACAGACACCGACCCCTGCAAGGGTTCTCCAGTGCTCCCCTGTGGCATGGGTGCATGCACCAAGGCACGTGCCCCGTGGGACCCGTCTATCCTCGTGCCCTCCTGCAAGTGCCCCTTCAATCTCCCCTCCTTTCAACCTTCACACCTTGCCGGCCTGCCCTCCTGCTTCCCTGGTGAGGCGTGGAGTGGTGGAGTGTGGTAGGCAAGAGTTGGAGTGCGGTAGGCACGAGGTGGAGTGCGGTAGGTGAGAGGTGGAGTGTGGTAGGTGAGAGGTGGAGTGTGGTAGGTGAGAGGCAGAGTGCGGTGGGTGAGAGGCGGAGTGCGGTAGGTGAGAGGCGGAGTGCGGTAGGTGAGAGGCGGAGTGCGGTAGGTGAGAGGTGGAGTGCGTTAGGCTCCCTTTTGGTTTGTTTGTGGATGGCATAGTTCTGTATGCATGCACTCCTCCTCGATTCACAGCACTCTTGAGAAAGTGAGGTGACTTTTGAGTCGACTCTAAAGTCACCTCTATGGCATAGGTTTGTACGCATGCACTCGTTCTCAATTCATGACACTCTTGAGAAGATGCGAAGGGTTTGCACTCTATGCACTATGATTACTCCTGCGACACCCTTCTTTCTCGTTTCCCCTCCTTTCCAACCCACCACCTTTCCCCTTCCCCCTTCTTTGCCTTCCTTCTCATGTCTCCTTTCTTGTTCTCCATCCTCCTTTCTTGTTCTCCATCCTCCTTTCTCATTGCTCCCGTGTCCCCCATCCCCCGTCCCCCTGTCCCATTTCCCCACCGTCCCCTTTTCCCCCCAACCCCTCGCCATGTTTCTTCACGTGTCCCTGGGTTCTGCATTGATGCTGTACTGCTGTGCTGCTCCCTCATTCCTGCTCTCTTCCCACTCTGCTGTGCTGGTGTGCTAATCCCTCACTCCTGCTCTCTTCCCGCTCTGCTCCCCCGATTCTCTGTCCCCTTCCTCGCCCCCCTGCCTTCACCAGATTCCTTCACGTGTCGCCAGCTCTCCACCAACCCATGTGCCCCAGGGGTGTGCATTGATGACATAGACGGCACCTTCTCCTGCCTCTGCCCCTCGCCCTACTTCCCCTTCTACTTCTATCCCAAAGGCACTGCCCGCTGTTACCATTGTGCGTACCACATGGTCTTACTTGCTCGCTCGCTCGCTCGCTTGCTAGCTTGTTACCATCCTCTGCCCCTCGTGCTGCTTCCCCATCTGCTTCTTCCCGAAAGCCACTGCCCGCTGCCACCAGTGTGTGTAACTCTTACCACCTCCCTCTGTCCCCAAAAGGGAAGTGGGTGGGTTTGTTTACCCCATGCCTCTGCCCCTCACCCTTCTCCCCTTTTTAATTCATCCCCAAAGGAGCTGCCCGCTGTTACCTCTGCGTAACACAGTAACGCTTGCTCTTGCCTGCTTGCTTACCACCTTGCTCTGCTCTTAAAGGGAAAATGCTAGGTGGTAAACTAGGGTCTGCCAAAAGCCGTAGATGAGCCTTGAGTCGACTCAAAAGTCGGCTCTGCTCCTGAAGGGAAAATGCTAGGTGGTAAACTAGGTTCTGCCAAAAGCCCTAGTTGAGTCTTGAGTCGACTCAAAAGTCGGCTCTGCTCCTGAAGGGAAAATGCTAGGTGGTAAACTAGGTTCTGCCAAAAGCCCTAGATGAGTCTTGAGTCAACTCAAAAGTCGGCTCTGCTCCTGAAGGGAAAATGCTAGGTGGTAAACTAGGGTCTGTCAAAAGCCCTAGTTGAACACAATTTGGTGTCAAGGGAACTGTGCTGGCTTTGGCGCTGAAACCGGCAAGCGTTAGAACCTTCGTTTTTGCGCTTGTCGATTGACGCAGCGTCGAAACAGTTCACGCTGCCTCGAAAATATTTCGGGCAGCCCGGAATAAAAACTTACAGTAAAACGCGGGTCGCGATTCCGCGCCGAAATCGTGATCCGAGAAATCAACTCGACATGTATGCTCACCCCATGCATCCTACCCCATGCATCCTACCCCATGCATCCTTACCACATTCATCCTATCCCATGCATTCAGTGCGATTGGCTGCGACTCGAATGCCCACCTTCCTGTCACCCTTCGGCCTCACATGCGCTCTCATCCTCAACACCTATGGGCTTACCCAGGCGGACTTCTTCAGCCAGAACAAGGTCAGCCTCTTGACGGATTTTACAAAGGTTATCAGGTTGGCTTATGAGGCGCTATAAAAGGTCGCATGCGCTCTCATCCTCAACACCTACGGGCTCACCCAAGCGGACTTCTTCAGCCAAAACAAGGTATGAAAGGCTTTGGTCAGGGAGGTGTTAAACCGAAGGGAGGCTTAGGCTGTGTTTGGGCAGCATATTTTAAATCACATCACATCACATCACATCACTTCACTTCACTTTTGAGAAGACTCAAAAGTGATTCCAATATAGGCCAGGCAGTGGTTGGGAAGCACCCACGTTTTATTTCGTGTCACATCCCACCGCATAGCCTTTTACACTGGACCCTGTCTAGTCACCTGTATGCTTTCTAGTCACTTGCCCCTCGCTGCTCCTCAATCCCCTCCAGAGTCCCTCACTTTCCCCTCATTCTTCCCACCACCCACCCTGCCTGCCTCGTCCCAATCTCTCCGTGTTCTAACTGCAGGGCTTTCAAACCCACAACCCCTTCCCATCTTGCCTTTATAGTCTTTCTTTTTTGTCAACTACCCACGTTCCATTCCAACCCATCCAGTCCTCTTTCTCTGACTCCTTGTTCCAACCCATCCAGTCCTCTTTCTCTGACTCCTTGTTCCAACCCATCCAGTCCTCTTTCTCTGACTCCTTGTTCCAACCCATCCAGTCCTCTTTCTCTGACTCCTTGTTCCAACCCATCCAGTCCTCTTTCTCTGACTCCTTGTTCCAACCCATCCAGTCCTCTTTCTCTGACTCCTTGTTCCAACCCATCCAGTCCTCTTTCTCTGACTCCTTGTTCCAACCCATCCAGTCCTCTTTCTCTGACTCCTTGTTCCAACCCATCCAGTCCTCTTTCTCTGACTCCTTGTTCCAACCCATCCAGTCCTCTTTCTCTGACTCCTTGTTCCAACCCATCCAGTCCTCTTTCTCTGACTCCTTGTTCCAACCCATCCAGTCCTCTTTCTCTGACTCCTTGTTCCAACCCATCCAGTCCTCTTTCTCTGACTCCTTGTTCCAACCATCCAGTCCTCTTCTGACTCCTTGTTCCAACCCATCCAGTCCTCTTTCTCTGACTCCTTGTTCCAACCCATCCAGTCCTCTTTCTCTGACTCCTTGTTCCAACCCATCCAGTCCTCTTTCTCTGACTCCTTGTTCCAACCCATCCAGTCCTCTTTCTCTGACTCCTTGTTCCAACCCATCCAGTCCTCTTTCTCTGACTCCTTGTTCCAACCCATCCAATCCTCCCTCTCTCCTTGTGCTGACTGCAGGGGTTCCAGTGCCGAGTGCCCATCCCTGTAGACACTCTGGTCAACGTCACTAGCCGGGCTTTTTCCCAATGCACTTCCATGTACACTGCTAATTATGTAAGCGCCATTGTGTCGACGTAATTTCCAGTGCGTTTATGTAAGTGCCGTTGAGCTTAAACTCAAATACTCACCACCCTCCTCACTGCTCACTCTGAATCGCCGCCTGTGTTTGCATTTCCTACCCCCTCCATCTCCCCACTCCCTCCATCTGCCCATCCCCATCCATCTGCCCATCCCCATCCATCTGCCCATCCCCATCCATCTGCCCATCCCCATCCATCTGCCCATCCCCATCCATCTGCCCATTCCCATCCATCTGCCCATCCCCATCCCTGGTCCCTGTCTGCCAGCAGGGTGACATGTGCGACCCACTCAACGCCCTCTTCTCCACTCCCATACAGCCGCTCAACTTGATTCTCCGTATAACCACGTTCCTGCTTCCACTTCCTCCCATACCTGACATGTGTGCTGGCAGGGTGACACATGTGACTCGTGTGCTGGCAGGGTGACACATGTGACTCGTGTGCTGGCAGGGTGACACATGTGACTCGTGTGACTCGCTCAACACCCTCTTCTCCACGCAGATACAGCCGCTCAACTTAATTCTCCAAATAACCACGTTCCTGCTTCCACTTCCTCCCGTACCTGACATGTGTGCTGGCGGGTTACTCGTGTGACTCACTCAACACTCTTCCCCACTCTCCTCTCGCGGTTTTTTAACCCCCCATTCTCTTTGTCTCCCCCTTTCCTCATGTGCCGGCAGGGTGACACGTGTGACTCACTCAACGCCCTCTTCTCCACGCAGGTACAGCCGCTCAACCCCGCCCTCACCTGCTCCGATGGGCCCAGGCCCGGCCAGGTGGGTGCGAGTGGGTGATAGTGGGTGCAGGTGGGTGATGGTGGGTGCAGGTGGGTGATGGTGGGTGCAGGTGGGTGCAGGTGGGTGATGGTGGGTGCAGGTGTGTGCAGGTGGGTGATGGTGGGTGCAGCAGGTGCGGGTGGGTGCAAGTGAGTTTAGGCGAGTGCACGTGAGTGTTTGTGGTTGCAGATACGTGTCAGTGGTTTTTTGAGGGGTGTAGGTGGGTGTTGGTGAGTGTAGGTGGGTTGAGGGGGGTGTAGGTGGGTGGAGGTGAGTGTAGGTGGGTGCACGGAAATGCAGGTGCGCACTGCATGTTGGTAACTGAAGCTGTTGCAATGACAGATTATCAGAATATCACACCACATTACACCACATCGCGTCACATCACATCACATCACATCACATCACATCACATCACATCACATCACACCACACCACACCACACCACACCACACCACACCACACCACACCACACCACACCACACCACATCACATCACATCACATCACACCACATCACGTCACATCACATCACATCACATCACACCACACCACACCACACCACACCACACCACACCACACCACACCACACCACACCACACCACACCACACCACACCACATCACATCACATCACATCACATCACATCACATCACATCACATCACATCTTACATCATATCTCATCATATCAGATCATAATATATTATATCACACATCACATCACATCACATCACATCACACCACATCACATCACATCACATCACATCACATCTTACATCAGATCTCATCATATCAGATCATAATATATTATATCACACATCACATCACATCACATCACATCACATCACGTCACGTCACGTCAGTTCAAGTCACGTCACGTCACGTCACGCCACGTCACGTCACGTCACGTCACATCACATCACATCATATCACATCAGATCTCATCATATCTCATCAGATCAGATCATAATATATCATATCACACATCTCATCACATCACATCGCGTCACATCACGTCATGTCACGTCACGTCACATCACGTCACATCACGTCACGTCACGTCACGTCACGTCACGTCACGTCATGTCACGTCACATCACTTCACGTCACGTCACATCACATGACGCAATTTAGTCTCCAAACTTGATCTCCACAATATTGGGGGTTTGTTCACACATTCCTCTCCCCCTTCTCCCCTCTCTCCCTCCTCTCCCCTGTTCCCCTCCATCCCTCCTCCCCAGCTCCTCTGTGTTGACTTCAACCAGACGTGGCTTGAGGAGGGAAAGACCCGCATATCATGCAAACTGCAAGCCCAAATCACCCCAGCCGTGACACAAACCGCGCCCACACCCTCACCGAGCCCTCAACCACCCCCTCCTCCGCCTCTTGCCAACTACACGAGCCTAGGTGTGCCCGTGACTGTGCTGCAGGGCCCGCAGAGCTGCCAGCAGCTGTGGCAGGCGTTTGCCATCGACTCCCCCACGCGCTTCTTCCAGATGAATCCCGGGCTATCATGTGATGCACTGCTGCCGTACAGCCCAATGCGGGGCAATATGATGAGCAAGGTGAGCTGGGCTGGTGGGTGGGGTATGAGTATGGCTGGGGGGATTCATATGATGAGCAAGGTGAGTTGGAAGGCCTGTGTGTGGCGATGGGGGGTGAGAAGGTTGGGGAATGCGCTGCTGCCGCACAGCCCCCTGCAGGGCAACATGATGAGTCGGGTGAGTTGGGCGTCTGTGTGTGGGGTTTGCAGGGGAGTGGGGGATGGTTAAGGGAGAAGGGAAGGGGATGGGGGATGGGTGAAGGTAAGGGGAGGGGATTGAGCGTTTGCCACTGCCTCTCCCACATGCTTCTTCCAGATGAATTCCGGGTTGACTCAAAAGTCACCTTCTTCCAGATGAATTCCAGGTTGACTTAAAAGTCACCTTGTTCCAGATGAACTCGGGGTTGACTAAAAAGTCTCCTTGTTCCAGATGAATCCTGGGTTTCCTTGCGCTACCCTGCTGCCGTACAGCCCCCTGCTGACCAATACTGTGAGTATGGTGAATACAGTGTTCTATGCATATGCACATAACACCTCTCACATGCGTGGTTCCACATGCATGACTCCACATGCATGGCCTCACATGCATGTAAACTGTCCTACATTGTGGTGTGGTGGAAGTGTGGGCGCAAGAGAGAGAGAATGTGCGAGAGATAGAGTGTGCAAGAGAGTGTGCGAGAGTTTGTGCAATGGAGTGTGTCCGTATTGGTGTCGTGTCCGTGTCTGGTGTTGTGTCTGGTGTCTCTGTCTCTGTCTGTCTCTGTCTATGTCTATGTCTCTGTCTCTGTCTCTGTCTCTGTCTGTGTCTACCTCTGGCTCTGTCTCTGTCCCTGTCTCTGTCTCTGTCTCTTTGACTGTGTGTCTGTGTCAGTGTCTGTGTCTTGTGTCTGTGTATGTCTGTCTGTGTCTGTCTGTGTCTGTGTCTGTGTCTGTGTCTGTGTCTTGTGTCTGTGTATGTCTGTCTGTGTCTGTCTGTGTGTAAAGGTTATCATATGCAAGTCTTTTTCCTCCCCTTCCATCCTGTTCCCACTAATGGCTGACTCACAGATTTGTGTGGCTAGTGTTGACAGCCGACCGTTTTCTGGCAATACATGTTCAACCAACCGCTTATATAGTGTGAAGCGCGGAGATACATGTGGCATGTTGATCGCTAAGAAATACCGCCGGAAGATTGACATGTTCAGGGAGCTTAACAAAGGATATGATTGTACAGTAAATAGGTTGTGGGTTGGCATGTTGCTCTGTTTGCCCTAATTACATTATCCATTCTGTGCAGAAATACCAAAGAGAAGTGCTTGATAAGGGCGGAGGTCACACAGCGCCACTACATTCTATTAGCTGAATCAATAATCTAACAAATGAGGCTGAACTTGCAAAACTGCATAACTACAAAATATTATGGACCAAAACCCCTGGCTCCAAATACTGAGTATAGCGGTTGATTTCCCAGACTCTTCAGAATGTCATTTCCAATTCCCGTTGATATTCTCTCGGATTGAGAAAGCTTGCTTTCTCTTCTTGCAAAGGCAGCGGGCTTCATTACAATTGCAGTAATACAACATTCTCGTCCAATTATGGATCATACAAATCTACAACTAGGGTGGGTGAGTGGGGGGTGGAACTGCAAAGTTCCGAAATGAAGTCGTGGGTGGAGGCCATTCGGGTGGAGGCCGAATGGCCTCCAACCCTCATGTACTCGGCGAGTTGTAATTCGCCGTTGCTTTGCTTTGTTACAGGCAGCTGCACTTTCACAATACGCATTTTTAGAAAGTGTTACACACTTTCGAAAATTTTCATATTGAGAAAGCTTGTTTTCTGTTCTTGCAAAGGCAACGGGCTTCATTACAATTGGGTCTTCTGGGACATGTGCAATTGGGGCGTTGAAGACTTGGCGAGTGTAGTTGCGGTTGATGGCCTTGATGAAGTGCCGAGAGAGTCGGCGTAGGTGATCGCGATCTCCGTGTTGATGGCGTTCGAATGCTATGTGCGCGAAGGTTGCGTTCTGTTGATGTAGATGTCCCTGTTTGTTGATGCAGCAGGATAGTGTTGGAAACTGGTGGTTCCCAACCAAACTCTACACTGCCAATGTACGGTACAAGTATTTCAGTTTCCATGTGCTCTGCTGTACTCTACACTTTCAACCGTTTGATGTTCCGGGCTAACTACAACATGAATGTATGGGTTTGAATTGGTAGTAGCGGGAGGGGTGTCCGTCATGTTGGTTGGACAGTATCATTCTTTTTTCCTTGCACCCAAATTCCGTCTTTGATTCCCAACCAGAGGCCCATTCAAGTTCTTAACAAGACACGAACTTGGGATAGCATGCAAGTCGCATAACACCTATGCTTTTATTTCCGTCTCGGGTGCGATCTAACAAAGTGGGATGAGCATGATGGCGAAAACCAATCCCTTCTCATTGCCCTTACTGGAGAGAACATTGAATGCGGTGTAAGAGTGTGTGTGAACAACCGTACCGTAGTCAAGTCAGATTCAAAATCCATGTTGAGTTGCACTCTACCAGCCATTTGTAACCAAATCACTTCCAAACAGTTGCGTCCCTAGATTTTGATGGGACTCCAAATTAGCCTGCGTTGGTCAAAAAATGTTTGAGCCTTTTTTTAATATATATATATATAATAATCTTATCATATACGGTACATCAATAGCCAAGGATGATCCATCCATACTAACGCACAGAAGAGTTTGAATTTCTGCCCATCTTACGGCAAGGCCAACATGGGGACCTTTGGTCTCCTTACCCCCCTCATCGCGAAACTTGGGTTTCTGGTTTTCCAACCGTAAGCCAGTCGTTGACAACTGGAGGGGTAAAACCAATCGTCAACGCCTCGCAAACCTGTCCAGTTGGCCAGTAGGTTTCGACATCCCAGTTTTCGGGCGGCTTATTTGCGTGCTGCCAGGTATTTCATCGGAATGTTGGTTGACACCAACCAATCACTGAGACACGGGAGGCGAGCCTCCGGCTTGGGTGAGGTTGGGAAATGCCCCAGACACTAGAGAACCAATCGTTTGATTGGAGGTTCCGAGGTGTTGGGGCTTCGACACTGTGGGACGAAGACATCGTATGGGTGACCTGTTATTGAGACATTCAGGCACATGTACATGTGGCATATAGAACGGGAATGAATTTCAATTAGATGCTGGTTTTTTAATAGTGGCTATTATTAATTTCAATGTACTTATTAAGTCTGCTATGAACGGTGAGTTACATGTATGCGAAACTTGCGAAGAGAATTTAGCACGTGAAGTATAAACGATATGAATGTAACAATGTTAATTAGATTATCACATTCAGAGATTCGTACATATAATATGTATATGCTGGACTGTAACCACGTGTTACAGGATTTGTCAAAAGAATTGGCGCGCGAAATAGAAGTGTTAGGACGAGGCACCTCTAGAAATTTTGCAGTGTCGATTGCACGATCGCTGATTGCACCGCGCTGAATGTCTCTGAAAGCATTCAAAATTCACTACACCATTTATTACTCTGCAAAAAATCGAACCTGCGCAGGTTTGATCGCAGGTACGGTGATACAAGGGTCAGGTCCTTATCATGTCGGTGGGCTGGGAGGGAGGGTGGTGCGGATTTGCAGGATTGTAGAGAGGCACGAGAAAATGTACACGTGGCCCAGTTTCCACGAGTGTGCACTATTACACTCGCATCAATTTCGGCGATCCGATTTCGATCAGTCACCGCACTGAAAACCTGCTATTACAGTCTAAAACTTCCTGACCTTTTTAAAACCCTGCTTTGTGTTAATGATCAATGGACACAATTGTCTCCGTTCAGATTTCAGGCAACGCACATTACCCAATCACAGGAATTCGACGACAGAATGTGTGTGTGAGGTTGACCCAGGGTGATGCCATGGCAATATAGTATGGTGAAGAAATGACACCGTGTCCCGAAATTGACGCGTGGAGTTGCACAGTGACTCCGACAGCACAGAATTACCACCCAATGATACCCGACAGCCAGATTCAGAGTAGGCAAAGGTGCATCCCAATGTTTCTTCTGGTGCATCCCACACGCACCCTTCCCATCCTCTGCTCGCATTCACAGATCAGTCATTCAGTTTTTTCGTCATTCATCTGCTCTATAGCTGTTTCTCACGTACGTTCCCCTACTCCCTCCGCGTTGCCTACTTAACAAAAATAATTTCACAGGCTCAGTCTAGCTGGCGCTGAGGGCACTGTTTCTCTCGACTGTGAAGATGAGAACGAGAGAATGATTGAACTATGAAAGAGTTGGGTACAAGTACTAACCCTAATTGGGTTGTACCCCTTATGGGCTACCCCACTACAGCCTACACAAATGTATAAGCTATAATGTTCTGACATCGACGTCATCAATCCAAAATCGCGTGCAGGATGTTCTCAGGTAATCAGAAATCCTTTGCATTGTTTCCATTTTTTTTTTTTTTTTTTTTCCAGGTTTGTAGTTTCCTTCAAATCTGAACAATGTAGGTTTCTTCCGTAGTATCTCGAGTATCTGTGTTCTGCGCGAATGTTCATAGTGCCCCTTATCATGCTGCCGTGATTTCGTGTTATTTTCCTTGAAGATCCTTCCTCATCGTGTTATCTGTGCCATGTTGAGAATGGTCAACCACCCTGCTTATACACTATGTTTTTCCAGGTGTTTTGCTGCTACCGCACCTACATTTCGACACCCTAAGGTAAGCCAGCATTGCAGGGAGCAATAATACATCGGTGCTCTGCTTATCTTGCTGAGCTGTTCGTTTTTCCCTTTCTTTTTTTCCTTTTATGGATAACTGTGTATATGAGCAGCAGGGTTTCGTACCTTCCAGGCTACAATCACTAACATTTCTTATGGCATTTCATGTATCTGCGAGTCTGCTGAAGGTGTTTCAGCCGAAGATTGTTGCTTAGGGACTTCTAGACGTAGGCACATTGAGGATTGGGACTTGGTGATCTGAGTTGTGTCAATCATATACACTTGCATTATACCAGTGTATAAAGTTGGCAAGATCCTACTTGGCAGAATGGAAGAAAGGGGGCATTATCGATGTGACGTGAAGGAATGCATTGCAAAATTTCCTACTTCATTGGCAAAGGCATGGCATATGTCGAAGGGAAAGCACAAGTTCAAGGCTCCTGATGCAACTCCAGAGCTGAGAAACGAAAGCAGCCAGGAGCTGCAGAGGCGCTCCAAGCTGCAGCAGAGCGCATTCGCACGAGAACAACTAAACGTACCCGCAGTGAAGCGCAGGCAGAGAGTAGTCGCATGGCAGAGGACGTGGGCACTGTAGAGATGTTCAGGACCCAACAGGGTATCGCTTCTCCTCCGGTGGTGACACATCGAAGGTAGATCCCGACGCACGCATATATCGTTTTGTAAGGACGGCTGCAGGAGGTTCCGGACTCTCGAGGGTGGATATCAAGGAGTTGATATCCATCCTCATAGAGGTGTTGAGCAATCCCGGGCGTCTAACCATAAATTCCCTTGCAGCATTTGATGGCTACGAGAAGTTGCAACTCGCTGATGCCAATTTGCACCCTTTCGAGCAGGTTAATCTTGCAAAGGAGGGGGTGTCAAACATTATATATGTTGTGTTAGTTTAGGCTACAGTGGGTTAGCCTATAAGGGGGTACACAATTCTAGGGTTAGGTACTTGTACTCATTTCACTGCTAGTTCATTCATTCCTGTTCAGTTATTCCAACATGGTATAGAGCAGGTCCTTCCTAGGACCGAAATTTTCTAAGGGCCCACCACTACGTAACTAACTACCTACCTACCTACCTGTGCCCTAGGGCGCCTCGGCGTGTCCCGCCCCTAGAGGTCCCTCTTGACGGCCCCGCGCTAGCCCCGTTCAGGCCCCGTCGGCCCCTTTAAGGCCCCGTTCAGGCCCCGCGCTAGCCCCGTTCAGGCCGCGTCGGCCCCGTTTCAGGCCCCGTCGGCCCCGCGCTAGCCCCTCTCAGGCCCTGTCGGCCCGCGCTAGCCCCGTCTCAGGCCCCGTCGGCCCGCGCTAGCCCCGTTTTCAGGCCCCGTCGGCCCCGTTTCAGGCCCCGTTGGCCCCGCTTCAGGCCCCGTCGGCTCCGTTCCAAGCCCC